TTGCAGGCTCTTCTTGGTTGTATGTTCATATTTAAGATTAAAGCACAGAAAATAAAATTCAAACCTTTGTGAGCAGAGGTAGAACTTGATGATAGTTGCATTTCATCGTGGGGTGTGGGGTGATTTTTGTTGAGTTAGATTTAATGTTGGCGGATCTCTAGACATGGATGTTTATAGAGTTTTTCTGTGAGACATTGGGTTTCTCCAGTTATCACTCTACAATTTATACTGGTGAACTATTGCTGTAGCCACAAATCCCCACCGCCCCCAAATCTCCATGGCTTATGACAACACCCATCTTTTGTTTAAGATACATGAGAGCTGTTGCTCCACCAGGCTCCATTGGGCCTGGCTCCATGTGACTTTGCATTCTGGTTCTCTAGCTTGAGAGCAGACATCATCTCGGGAATTTAATCTCCTGGTGAAGGGCAGAAGCACAATGAAAAGAACTGAACCATAGGAGTACATTAATGCTTCTGCTCAGACATGTCTTATGTAGTATTTGCTCTCACTCCATTGGCCAAAGCAAGTCAAATGGCCAAAGTATATTGGGTAGAGATGTAATTCCATCTATAGGAAAGCAGAACAAGTATAGGCAGGGAAGAACCAATTAGTAACAAGTAATAAAATCTCTCATGTATCTCACGTTGACTGGTTTCATTTCTCCTGTTCTATCTTGTGAAGTTATACTGTTTTCATTTTTTAATATAATTTTCATGGGTTTATAGGAGGAGAATCAGAAATCAATGTGGGTAAGTCTGCTGTTAACTTAAATTCTAGGTGATATTTATATTGTTAGGCCAAACTTAGCATTTGCAAGAATGTATAAAAAAGGAAGATGTAAGAATCAACACTCAGATTTGTTTGCTTGAAATTCAGGAAAAAAATACATGTGAAACTAAGGGGAGTACTTACCTGGGCATGGAGGTGGGTGCTAGGAACCAGGATATGGCATACAGGAATGCCAGGAAGATTTGTACTATATAACAGTTACACATTCTTTTTTGTGTACTATGCAAACATATTACCAAAAGTTACATTCACCAGTAAATTTTAGCTATGGTAAACCTTAGAAGAATTAACCTAATTTGTAAAATATTGTTGGGAAATTTAAGTCAAGAGAGGCAAATCTTTCCAAAACTAACTCTCATTACTCTGTCTGGAAGTATGCTTGAAATATTAATATATTTCTGCTTTTCAAAATGAAAAAAAAATGAGAAAAAGAAAGTCAGAAAAAGGAAAAATAAAAACCTGCTTTGTTCTTTCCAGTACATTAGCAGAAAGCATTCGAACACAAAGGGAAGTTGGTAAAAGATTCACTTCAAGTGTCACATTTCTGACGATCTTAACCAACCCTTGCCCATTCCTGCCCCAGGAGAACTAATATTTTGTGTCTCTGTGTCAAGCAAAGCTTTGTTTGCGTTTGCACCATAGCATTCATAAATCTGTAATGCAATCATTGATCTACATGTCTCTCTCCTCCACTAGACTGGGTTTCCTGTGGCTATGTAATCTTAGGACCTACGTTGGTACCTGGCACTTAGTCAAGTGTCAATGAATTGTTAATGAATTGATGTACACTATCTTCTTCAGAATCTAGAGTAGGAAAACAAGTAAAACACCAGCAAAAGAAACTATTGTCTTCTTATTTCATGACACTCTAAATTCCAGTACTGATGTTTGTGAACATTTCATTTCATTTCTCTTATTTTCTTTTTTCTTCCTTAACTGTTTTTGTCTTCCCTGAATATCCACAAGAAATAAATGTAATTGATGCATTAGTTTTTTCCAAGATGAAAACTTTTTTCAGATCGTAAAAATAATTTACAATCTGTTTATTGAATAATACAAAGCAAAATGTTACAACAGGAGAAAGCATATGAAGTGGAATGTAAATACCATGCCATAACCTACCCCAGGGACAATAGCTATGAACAGATATGAAGACAACTGCAGTTAACACACACACACTCACACAAACACAGTAAAAATTAGGAAATAAAAATGTAGCCATTAAAATAAGCAGTTGATAGATACACTGGCCTTCTGATTAAATGTGATAGGTGGAATACTAACTGGTTTCCCTCTATTCTTATCAGTTTTTGAATTATCTATAAGCTAGCTGCAAATTTAGAGTTACTATTGAATAAATTCAATAAGGAAGTATTTTATCCAGTCTATTTTACATTCTAGTACATTTCTATCTGGTTGGGCCCAGACCATAGTCCATTCTGTTTTCAGAAAGTGAAATTCTCTCACTCCCATAATTATGAATCCAGCCTCATTCATTAGATAACCCATTTTCATTCTACGCCTATTTCTTCCTTTGGATCAGAAGTCTGCATTTCTCAGTTCATAATTTTCCATGAGAAACAGGCAGACTTTAGGAATTTCTCCCTGTAATTGACAATTGTTATAGCCCTAGCACTTTTAGAGAAATGTGTGAAGAAAAACATTCACTTGTCTGTAACTTTATTTGGTCATTTCTCAGCCTTTGCTTCTATGGATGGAAATCAGTTAAGTGCTAAATTACTGACTACTCATGCAAAACCTACATTTGTATAATCTTGAAGGTTAAGCTCGGCAAAAAGTTCCCTAAAAAAGCAGGTAACACTTATCTTGGAGGGTTGTCTATTCATTTATCTGTAGTTTGGAATAGTCCAGAATTGTTTCTTTAGGGAGTTGCTGATCCCTTTCTATGGATGTGATAGTTAATTTTATGTGTCATCTTGACAGGGTTAAGGATGACCAGAAATGCTGGCAAAACATTATTTCTGAGTATGTCTGTGAAGAAGATTCTTGAAAAGCTTAGCCTTTGAATCAGTAGGCTAAGCAAAGAAGATCCACCCTCACCAACGTGAGTGGCACCACCCAATTCATTAAGGGCTTGGATAGAACTGAAAGGCAGAGGAAGGTCTAGCTTGCTCTTATTTTTTGAGCTGAGGCATCCATCTTCTTGTGCCCCTGGTTCTCAGGCTCTCAGATTCCAGCACTTAAACCAGTGCACCACTCCCCCAACTCCCACCCTACTCCCCACTCCCGCACTGTTCTCAGGCCTTTAGGCTGAACTGAATCACACCACTGGCTTTCCTAGTTCTCCAGCTTACGGACAGCAGATCACAGGACTTTTCAACCTCCACTGTCACGTGAGTGGATTCCCATAATACATTTCCTCTTACATGTCTATAAACATCCTACCTGGTTTGCCTTCTGCATGTGATGGCTGTGTGGACCCTCATCCAAACACCTGTCTTGGATTGGCATTTTAAATTTCCTAAGATGAACTTAACACTACCTATCTTGATTAGTTTTCTGTTGCTTATAACAGAATACCTGAAACTGGGTAATTGATAAAGAAAAGGAATTTCTTTCTTTTTTTTTTTTTGAGACGGAGTTTCGCTCTTGTTACCCAGGCTGGAGTGCAATGGCGCGATCTTCGCTCACCGCAACCGCCGCCTCCTGGGTTCAGGCAATTCTCCTGCCTCAGCCTCCTGAGTAGCTGGGATTACAGGCACGTGCCACTATGCCCAGCTAATTTTTTGTATTTTTAGTAGAGACGGGATTTCACCATGTTGACCAGGATGGTCTCTATCTCTTGACCTCGTGATCCACCCCCCTCAGCCTCCCAAAGTGCTGGGATTACAGGCTTGAGCCACAACGCCCAGCCCGGAATTTATTTCTTACAATTAAGGAAGCTGAGAAGTCCCAGGTTGAGGGGTCACACCTGGTGAGGGCCTTCTTGCTGGTGGAGACTCTGCAGAGTTCTGAGGTGGTTCAAGACATCACATGGTGAGGGGGCTGAGCATGCTAGCTCAGGTCTCGCTTCTTCTTCTTAAAAAGCCACCAGTCCACATTGCCATGATAACCCATTAATGCATTAACCCATTAATATATTAATCCATGAATCAGCTCTGTGCCCTCTGACCCAATCACCACTTAAATGCCCCACCTCTCAATATTGCCACGTTGAAGATTAAATTTCAACAAAGGTTTTGGAGGGGACAAATATTCAAAGCATAGCACTACCCATCCTTTTGATGGTTGAAACATATGGATCTTTCCCTAATTGGCAACAGAAATTGTCTGGCACTGTGCTCACAATCTGCTCTGCAAATCTTGTGGAAAGCACATTTTACAAGAAATAATATTTTTGGAGCATTGCTTAAGAGAAATGAAGTCCAATCCCAGCACTTTGGGAGGCCAAGACAGGAGGATTGCTTGAAGCCAGGAGTTCGAGACCAGTCTAGATGACATAGTGAGACCCTGTCTCTAACTTAAAAAAAAAAAAAAAGGACAAGAAAAGAAATAAATGAAGTTCATCCTCAGATATTCAAAATTTTTTCCTTGACCAAGTTCCTCCATTAGCAAGTCTTTATATTTGACCATATAAATATATTTTATATTGTTTCAGCCCCACATAGATCACTTAGTGAATTTCATCAGCCTTATACATTTACTCTATGATGAAGGTGTCTTATAAGAACAGACTTATGAAACTCATTTTTATGTGTTACAGAAAAGTTGCCAAAGCTGCCTTACATATTTGCTTTTCAAAATGTGGTCCTGGGAACAACAGTTTTGACATCACCTGGAAATTTGTTGGAAATAGAGTATCTTGGGCTCTACTCCAGACCCGTCGAGTCAGAATCTGCTTTTTAACAAGACCCCCAGGTGACCTGTGTGGACATTAAAGTCTGACAAACATTGCCTTAAACTATATTCTTCTTTGCCAGAAAGCATAGACAAAAGTAATAACAAAAACCAAAAACCAAACAAAAACCCCCTCGTATTTCAGAAATAAGTAAAGCTGTGGTTCCCGCCAAACTCTTCTTGTTGCTACGTTTATTCCTTTTCTAGTTTTATTTTTCTTTTACCTCATTCTCATAACTATGGTATGAGTTTATAGCAGTGTTTCAGTTATCCAGTCTTGTATACCAAACTATCTCAAAACATAGTGACTTAAAACAACATCCACATTTATTTTGTTCACAAATACTCACTTTGGGCAGGGCTTGGCAGGACAGCTCCATCAGCTGGGGCTGCTCAAAGGCTGGAAGCTGGAATTATCTGATGGTTTGCTCACTGATATGTTTTGGCTGTGTCCCCACCCAGATCTCAACGTGAATTGTATCTCCCAGAATTCCCACTTGTTATGGGAGGGACCCAGGGAGAGGTAATTGAATCATGGGGGCTGGTCTTTCCCATACTATTCTTGTGATAGTGAATAAGTCTCATAAGATTGGATGGGTTTATCAGGGATTTCCGCTTTTGTTTCTTCCTCATTTTTCTCTTGCCATCATCAGGTAAAAAGTGCCTTTCACCTCCTGCCATGATTCTGAGGCCTCCCCAGCCTCGTGGAACTATAAGTCCAATTAAACCTCTTTTCCTTCCCAGTATCCGGTATGTCTTTATCAGCAATGTGAAAAAAGACTAATATACTCACTTATATGCTGTTAGATGAGAAGACAAAAACAACTGGGGCTATGGCCAGAACATCGATATGTCGCCTGTCCATATGACCCGACACAGCGGCTGGATACCAAGGGTAAGCATCCCAAGCTAGAATGAGCTGGGCAGGAGCTATATTGCCTTTTATGACCTAGTCTTGGAAGTTAGGTAGCATTACTGCTGCCACATTTTTTCCTCAGGGTGGAAACACAGTCCTTCCCAGGGAAGGAGAATAGAGCCCATCTTTAAATCAACAAATGGCAAGATTCCGGAAGGGATGGGAAACACTGCTGTGGCTGTTTTGGAAAATGAAACCTGCTACAACTACTTATACTTTTATTTATTTATTTATTTTTTGAGACAGAGTCTTGCTCTGTCGCCAGGCTAGAGCGCAGCAGTGCAATCTCGGCTCACTGCAACCTCCGCCTCCTGGGTTCAAGCGATTCTTCCGCCTCAGCCTCCCGAGTAGCTGAGACCACAGGCACGTGCCACCATGCCCGGCTAATTTTTGTATTTTTCGTAGAGATGGGGTTTCACCATGTTGGCCAGGGTGGTCTCGATCTCTTGACCTCGTGATCTGCCCACCTCGGCCTCCCAAAGTGTTGGGATTACAGGCGTGAGCCACCACGCCCTGCCTACTTACACTTTTAAAAATGGTTTTAAATTTTTTGTGGAGAGAGTGGGGCAGTAATTAATAATTAATAAATTAATAAGAATATTTATTAGAAGGAAATAGCTTTGTGCCTGTAATCTTAGCACTTTGGGAGGCCGAGGTGGGCGGTCTGCCTGAGCTGAGGAGTTCGTGACCAGCCTGACCAACATGGTGAAACCCCATCTCTACTAAAATACACACACACACAATTAGCTGGGTGTGGTGGCACATGCCTGTAGTCCCTGCTACTTGGGAGGCTGAGGTACAAGAATTACTTGAACCCAGCAGGCAGAGGATGCAGTGAGCCAAGATTGTGCCACTGCACTCCAGACCGGGCAACAGAGCAGGACTCCATTGCCAAAAAATGAAATAAATAACTTTGTTTCTTTTTTCTTTCCAAACCTGTTTTATGTCTTTACTTTCTAGTAAAGCAAATAATGTGGGATCTCCAGAAAATCGTTAACATTTATGAATATTTATCTCTTGCTTCTAATATTGGCAGCTGATCTAATCCCAACAGGTTCTAGCCCATGTATTATTTTAAATACACGTTAAGGTCACAGTGTCTGCTTTAAAGTCTCAAATTAAATGTGCATATAGGTCACCTGGCCGGGGGGTCTTATTAAAATGCAAATTTTAATCCAGTCTGAGGTACCCTTGAGATTCTGCATTTCTAATAAGCTCCCAGCGGATGCTAATGCTGCTGGCCCACAGACTACACGTGGAGTAACAAGGTGTCAGATAGAAGTGGCTCTAAGATGTGTGCCCTGGGAATCTTAGCTGCTGGGACCTCGCCCATGTTCCTGGATGATAATCACAAGATTGAGGTTAATTCCTTCCTTCTGTTCTGAGGGCAAACCAGAGTCCCATTGGAGATGGCTGATTTTACCTTAAGTCCACCTAGAAGGTGAGTCTCTAATTTCCTCTGCTGAACCTAAAGCCTCCTCTGTGGATCTGAAGGACTCAGGCCTAGGTGATGTGGAACAGCAAGAAAACCACATTTCATCAGTTTGCTCGAACCTCTTTGTTGGGTGGCAGGTCCTTTTCACATCTTTTCTGCCAATGTGAATCTTGCCAAGTCTGTTTTTTCTGATCCTAGACTCTGTGAGCTGGACCAGCAGTTGTGCAAACACTGGCCTTTTCAATAACGCCCCTTTCCCCTTCTACACTCTCAAACCACACTGACTCTACCTTGAAAGATTTCATCTCTGTTTGGGGCTGTGCTACTGAATTGTCATATTGCATGCCTCCTATATATAAGATAGAGCAGCTTCCGATTTAATCCAGAGTCATTCTGGTCCTCAAAGACCCAGGAGATTTGGGTAGGATTACTAGATTCTATACCTTTTCTTTCTTTCTTTCCTTCCTTCTTTCTTTCTTCTTTCTTTCTTTCTTCTTTCTTTCTTTCTTTCTTTCCTTCTTTCTTTCTTCTTTCTTTCTTTCCTTCTTTCTTCTTTCTTTTTCTCTTTTTCTTTCTTCTTTTCTTTCTTTCATTTCTTTTTCTGTCTCTTTCTGTCTGTCTTTCTTTCTTGTTTTTGCACAAATATCTGATGTAATAGGGCAAGAGTACTGATGTGCTCAAAAGGTCTCAGCACTGTGAGCTCAGCCGTTTATTACTCTGCATGAAGTGTTGTGACCCTCAGTTAAAAGTGATATAAAAATTCCTACCTCAGAACAAGGTTGGAAAGAGAATTAAAATGAATAATACAAAAACAAATGAAAAAGCCCAAGTTGGTGGCCAAGCTAACCTGGTAGCAGAGAAGACCTAATTTTATCGTATGTCCAGTCTTCCCAAAAGCATAGTTCAAGGACCAGTGCATCAGAATCACCTGGAAGGTTTTTAAAAATGTTAATCTTCAAGTTCCATTTTAGATTTAACTGAATCTGAATCTCTGAAGAGTAAGGTGGGTGTCTAATTTTCATTGTAAGCAAGCCCCTCAAATGATTCTTACGCACACTGAAGTTCTGAGAACCAGACTGCTGTTGCTATAATAGGGTATTTGGTTGACCTCTGCTGGCTTAGGCTTCAGGGCAAATTCATAGACAATTTGGATTTTTTTCTGCTCATTCCCAAACCCCAAACCCCAAATCCTGCTCTTCTCAGCTCCAGTTCTAGCTTGATTTCCACAGTCTCCCATTTGTATGTTTCAGTCCTACTCTAGTTTCTATCTGGCTCTCTTTCTAGACCTCCTGGGTGCCCTTCCCTGAAGTCTCAGCTTTTAGTCTTCCCTCAGGTTTTCCTCCTAAAGTGTGCCCTCAGGCTCCCCATACTAAATTCTCAGGCAAGTTTCTCCTGCCCCCAGGGAGTAATTATCACAGCCTTCTCTTTTTGGGCTAGCTCTTAGGGTGTCTCCGCTACAATGCCGAGTCAGCGCAGTCAGGGGAAAAGAAGGCTCATCAACAAGTCAAGTCCTGTGGGGATCATCTCTTCACTGAAAGAAGGTACAGTGACAAACCATCCCCACCCCACTGCTTGCTGGGAAGCCAGAAGGACTCCAGCAATCAGCGCAGAAGTGGCCCATAAGCACACTTCTCCTAATTTCAGGGGACAATTCAGACCTCCAGGGAGTTCTGAAATTGATCCAGTGGAGAATAGTTCCCATTCACTTTCACCATCCTAGAACCAGGGAAAGCTAGGGACCACTCAGTGTGATCAAGGTCACTTCCGGACATTTCATCCATACCAGGCCTCAGTGACGTTCTCTCTCCTTAGCTTTCACAGAAAGAAATATATGTTAGTAAAGTAGGCTTTTGTCTCATATATAAGTACCAATACAGCTTCTGCTGGCTTTGCTAACAGACGTATATAATTCAAGTTCTAGTTAGTCTAGCTATGATATGAATCTAAGCCTTAAGACAATCCTACTTGGCTTATTGTCCTGGAACCATTTCCTGGCACATATATGTGTTCCTGAGGATGTGGGAACATTTATGGATGTAGATTTTATTCTAAATAATATTCATTCCTCTTGTCGGTGGCTCTATGGGGTACTATCATCTACTATAGTCCTCTTTATTCTTTACCAAGTGAAATGATAGTTGCTTCATGTAGAAATCCATATTAAAAAGAAAATCTTTTAATCTACAATAAAACACAATAATGACTACATTTTAAATTATAATAAGAGAAAATATTTTATTGGTTGGCATTAAAACGCTGACCTGCTGGTTTTGTGTAGGGGTTGCTAGCTCAGTCTGCATGCTTTTTTTTTTTTTTTATAAATAGTTTTATTGGAACACAGCCACATATTTTTTTTTAACATATGCTCTATAGCTGCTTTCTTACTACAGTAGCAAGAGGGGAATAGTTGTGACAGGATTGTATGACCCTCGAAGTCTAAAATATTTACTACCTGGATTTTTACAGGAAAAAAATTATAACCCCTCTATAGACTGTAAGCATCTAGAGATCACTGAACGGATTAAGTTCGATTATTCTGTAAAGAACTCAGCACAGCTCTATGCACCTAATAAGAAAATCCTGGTGTGTTTGGTGCTTTCCAGAGGTTAAGTAAATAGGGCTTTTAAACTTCTGTATGGAAGGGGGAAAAAAATTGAAGACACAAAAAATGTTAATCATGGTTATCTTTGAATAGTAGGATTAGAGAGCAGTTTAGTTTTTGTCTTTTTCCTTTCTGGATATGCTAGATGTCCTTCAGTGAATATTTATTACAGACACACACACATACACATCCCAAAAACTACCCCCACTCCCAGGATACTTGGTGGGGTGTAGTTGGTTAAACAAAAAAAGACCTAAACAATATAGAAATTATTTTTTTTTCTAAGTCAATGTGGAGGTGAGAATAGAGGGAAAGTATCTTTCATAATGAAATAATAATTAAAACAGTATTATTCAAAACCTCTTTTAGCATCTTGCTTCTTTTATAAATATGCATGGTCTGTAAATCTAAAGAAAAATAATGGATTATGATTATTCTATAATGTAT